CGTAGGTGCCATAGCCAGCTCCCGCGGTAAACCCGACCATCGACGCCGACGACGAGGGAGTCATCTTCCTCATATCGGGCGAATTACTGGCCAGATCTGACTGCTGCTGGCCCCGGAGCAGGGAACTGTTGGCAGCAATGCCATTGCTGCCATGGGCTGAATGCGCAGCGGCCCCGCTCAGCGAAGGCGATTGCAGATGCTGCTGCTGCTGCTGGGGATGGGCATTTTGCTGTGATTGACGCTGATGATGATACTGATGACCCCCATATCCCATCATCTTGATCGAATTTTCCTGTGGAATTCCTGACGAGGAGTCCGCTGTATCGAGATGAGCCAAGGACGCTGTCTCTCAACAGGACATGTGACTACCGCGTCTTGAACCAATAATAACAATGACGCGGGTCGGTGACGATGATCACAGGGGAATCAACCACAGACAATTGATTGGAATGGGTTCAAAGATAGAATCACAGTAAGCAAAAGGTATGTCAAGAAGAAACAACTGTTTCAATAAAACAAAAGTAGATCGTGGTTATGTTCTGCCAACTCCTGTCTGGTCCGATTATGGCTGAGTGAATGGTTTGTGGCCTCAGGCCGTCACTACGGCAGGCGGGTTCGACCCAGTGGCGCAGTGATTAGGCAAGTTGAGAGAAATAATAATACACGAGAAAAGGCTGGCAGGACGAATAACCCGGCACAGCAAGAGCACAAGGGGGTATTGGGGCAAGAAAGAAAGCAGAAAAATAACAGCAATGAGGAGCAGAAGGGAATTCTGATGAAATCAACGCTGAACAACGGCCAAGACGATGGGTGTTTGGGGATCGCGAGATGGACTGTCGGCGTTGTTCTTTTTTTTATTTTTTATTTTCCATTTTTTGGATTATGGATTTTTGGGGGGGGCTCCGCATCACGTGATTTCGTGTTTACTTGGCCCTTCTCAAATCACCAGTCTCCGTGAAGATGAGTCACCCAGGATTATCTCTAACTATGCCTTGTCTAAGTGAGAGAGAGAGCAATTGCTTCTAAGGATACGCAGTAGAGAGTGTAGGTTTCGGGAAGGAGACTGTCTTGTAAATGATATCAGTCAGTCCGATGATGCTGGCACTACCCCATACAGATCGAGAACTACCGAGCTAAAATAATAATAATAAAAATAAAGAGGAGAGGAAAAATTAAATCAATAAATAATAAAATGCGGAAAATCATCGATGGATAATAATAATAATAATCTCGATCCAAAAAAAATATCAGGCCCATTATTTCCTCCACTTAATGTTTTATTTCTTCGAGATTAAGTTTTATAATATATTACTATTGATCGAGATTTGTTCATTAAAGATAATTGTTTATTAGCATACGTTCTATCAATCCATATCACCACTATATACCCAGCAAAGTAGTCCATGTATCAGGCAGCCTTCGCAACATCCTTATCCTCCTCCTTCATCTTCAAATCTGCCAAACATGGCGCAAAGAACAGCTTCCCTGACACCGCGCCCTTCAATGTCCCAATACTCACCACCACCCATAAGACCACCACACAGAGCGAAATAATCTGCATAAGTCAGAGGCCTGCTCTCTTCAATAGATATATGAATGACCTACCGTTCCGAGCATTTTGAAAAACTCTGACGGCAGCTCTCGACCCATTTGACAGGTACTTGCAGCAAAGACCCCGAGCGGGAATGTGAACCCCCACCAGCCGATATTGAAAGGAAAGCTGCGACATCTAGCGATAGAAGCCGACGCGAAGAACAGCCAGACCAGGCCGAAGGACCAAAGAATGAGAGCGACGAGGAACCCCAGCGTGTAGAACGTTGGGCCGGACGAGGCTTCCAGCGTATGTGTCTGCGCGAAGATGGTTTGGGCGGATTTGCCCAGTTTCATTGCTCTGTTGATGACGTTAGTATTTGAACTGGCGAAAACGATGGAAGCAAAAAAACTCACCCATAACCGCCCTGCCCTAACGGCCCCAGGGGCAGGAAAACACTAACGATGACGGCCTTCGGTGGGAGCTTGTGGAGGGTCAGGCGCTGGAGGTAGATTACCATGACCATCATGGCGAGGGGCACGCCAATGCCCCAGAGGACATAGCTGACGAGCACTGTCCATAAGGCGTGTTGAGGATTGGGGAGGACGTCAGCGACGATGGCGCCCGAGGAGGCTGCAACGATGCAGCTTACGATTGGGAGGAGCCAGATTGCAGTCATGGAGGAGAGTTGCGTTTCGTTTCCGTGGGCCATACTGTAAGATTTCTGAGTCACACGTTCGGATATGTCTGGAAGGAAGTGAAGCCATACAGTAAGAAGGGCAACGACAACGCCGTCACCACCGATAATATCGCGTCGAAGATCCATAGACCCCAGGCAAAGTTTCTGGTCCATTCCCCCCACGCTGGGACGCAGACAAAACAAAACATGTTGATAATCGTAGTCAAGCCCATTGGAAATGTCCCAATGAACATTGACTGCACGGGATGGACAATCATGGCTCCGAAGATCTCCGGATACAGTGTATATCGCAAGAAGCTGATGACACATCCTGTGATGAAGAGGAGAACATTGATAGCGAAGACGACGACGGAAACCCAGTATAGCCATTGAGCATTGTAGGGAAGTGTATTTAAAAGAATTGATACAATGCCTGTCCCCATCGTGACTGAGAACCATCTATTCGCCGTTAGTGTTTTCGTCGCTTAAAATGGGAGCAAAGTGCGTACGAAGGGGTGAAGTTGCGGACGATCCTCCTCCAGCCCACATCATGTTTTGTGAGCTGGGTTTGCGTTTGAGAATTTGTATTGGCGCAGCTCATTATGCTGGTCAATATACTCCTGTCAATTTTCGAAGAAGTTGAGGATGATGGATCGAAGTAAGGATGTTCGCCACCGCTTTGAGGGACCGAAAACTCAATCTAGTGAAAAACGCTCTAGATATATCCCACGACGCAGATTTCAGAGGCTTCGAAGGTTGATTCTTAACCTCCTGTTTGTTATTTCTGAAATCAGCTCGATATAGCCCAATTTACTCTTCGTCTTCATCGACTCGCTGACTGAGTCATCTTCGGTTAGCCGGTACGCTGAAAGTCAACTCGGCCGACAAATCCAATCTGTTATGTCAAGCCAGAGCTATTTTTATCACGCAATCAATATTAATTGAATCGATGTCGGGTAGTCTTTAGTGATCAAAAACAGTTGTAGCCGGAATATTAGAGACATTGCGTGCATAGATTTCAGTTGGTCGGTCAATGGGCCATATATATAGTACGCTTAATAGACCTGAACAAACAAGCTCATCTCATTCATTATTCATGAAGTAAATCAGATAACATACAAATCAGAAGTAACCATCGTACATCGTAACTCTACATCTTACTTCCTCTCTCCTCCAATGCTCGCCAGAGTATCCTTCGTGCTATTGCCCACACTGTTTGTCGTCTGTCCCAGGCCCTGCCCAGCACCAGACACAGTCTCTCCGAGACCTTGGGTGGCTCCGCCGACGGTGTCTCCGAGTCCCTTGGTCGCGCCACCAACGGTTTGTCCAAGACCACCGACAGTGTTACCGACAGTGTTTGTGAGACCGCCAACGGTGTTGCCTAGAGTAGTTCCAAGACCACCGAGGAGGCCAGCTGTCAGTCTCAATCAGCCTGGATCTTGTGCAAGGTAGAGATGCGAGAGCATACGGTTCTGTTTCTGGTCGTCAGACATTATGATGAGGAAGTAGTGATGGGGTGTTTAGATTCAGATGGAATTTGCTTTGGATTGTTTGTAGGAAGTAGGTAGTAGTAGTAGTAGTCCTGTCACCTAGATTCTGTCAGGAGACTGTCAGCTTGATTTATATACCAACAGGAACAAGCACAAGCACCATACGTCAGCCCTGACCCAGCAGTCGGGATGGACATCCAGACAGCAGCGCCGGGGAATAACTGCCAATGAGACCATGGTGCGCTGCTGGCTGACGCAACTCAACTTCCATGGTTGATATCATCGCGCGTGTCATGGAGAGTGGGGTTGGTGGCGACTAAGGTACATCATGCAAGTAAGGTACCTCTCGAGAGGTAGTATTGTTTATTTGGCGTATATGACACCTACCGTTGTCGATGATCTTAGTTTAGTGGATATCAAGATGAGATCTTGTCTTAGGACTGATCTAAGTAATTGATTGCGATGATGTCATATATCCCAACCGCACAGCCACAGGTCATTTTCATATCAGAAGTGCTGGCTTCTTGTTTTGAATTCAATATTGACATATTGTCGGTAATAGGGATAGAGTTCAAGCAGAGACAGAGGAGTATAACTAATATCGAAACATGATTAGCAGATTTGTCTGCTCGTGCGCTGTTTAGAAGAGGCCATTTGTTGGATGTTCTGGACAGATAAACACTGACACCAAGTCCACCTTGTTATCATGCGCATTAAATCCTGGAATATCACTACACTGTATCAGTCCATATGGAAGTGATGGTAATTATGGCTTTGCAGTACAACTTTCGAGTCCTCAAACAGCAGCTCGCAACGGGTTAAATCCATAGTTTAGCATCACAGTTAACAAGAGCTACATGTCTTCTTCAAGTCAAAGAACTGATGAACAACATAACATATCTCTGTCTCATAATAATGCCTCAACCCCAGCCATTAAAGCATTCAACTCCGTTTCAGGCAACTGACTGGGCAATAGACGATTCCCTATTATATCGTACGGTCAACCGACCTGGGCCTCAAGTGCATAAGGTAGTATATTTTACTTTTCTTAATGGTGCAAAATACCATGCTGCCTCTCGGATTACAGAGAAGGATAAGAGTAAAAAGGAACAGTGTGTCTTGTCCACTACGTACAAATATTTGTATTCCCTATAGTATGGACTTTATTCGTTCCAACAGCCAAATTTACACACCTTGCGCCTGGTTTTCATGAAGAAGACAACGCATCCCCAGGATATCATGACACATGAAGCCGAAAAGGGAAAGTTCGTCGAAATTTGGTACATGATGGACAACGTGGTCAAGTCTGCGTCTTTCCTTCCCCCTCGTCAGTATCCAGTTTGTCTGCAGATTCCTGGGTCACTTCGTCATGTTCCTTGGTATCAAGTGTGCCAGATTCAAAACCTGAATCTGATTCGTCTGAGAGATATGCAGCATAGCGGTTCATGTATCTCCAAAGTCCCCCAAGCAAGTCCATCTCATCCTTGTCTCGTATCCATTCCCGGAATTCCTCTTTGGAGACAGGAGGGTCATCGTATGTGAAATCAATACCATATCCCTGCAGCTCATCCTGGATGTTGTCAAGATCCTCGAACGTACAGCGGGCATCCCAAAGCTCCTTCTCGGTGCCTCGAAAGGCGTAGGCAGGGATTTTGACATGCACACGGGGCAGGGACTTTCGTACTCTGGACGAATGTTCTCCGAATTTCACTAACCACTCCTCGTCACACCTTTGAATGCAGTTGTATTTGGCCTTCTCGCGGACGATCGTCCAGAAGGTTAGCACTAATAGCTCCAAATTCGGCGCGAGGAGTAGGGTGGCCGCGGCTTGGGGCGATTCAACCACGATGGTCCGGAATGAGAGTTCGAGAACTTTAAGATTTGTGTAGCTTCTTAGGTCTAAGAAGCCCATCGGGCTGGGCTCAAAGGGGTGGATCAGAATCGACTTCAACGTCTTTCTGTGACGGTCGAGGGCCGCTCTGATGTTGGTATAGCTCCATCTGTAGGACCAAGCATACGAGCGATTGTATGTGTATGTAAAGGCAAAATGCTCGAGACCGGTGAACCAGGTCAGGATCTCCTGCAGCAGTCGAGGGGCCTGGCTGAATCCGTTGAACTTCGCCGTCTTAATAACAGGGAGTGTTCCGTTTTCATACTTTGCACTGTCAGCTTCTATTGACATTGTAGAGATGCGGTCCTCAGCTCACCTGAGTGTCGAGAAAATCCGCAACATTTCCAGGGATATTGTCTCCCAGAGCAGCCATTCTCACGGCCCAGACGTCCCGCCTTTGTATCTTCAATGTTTCGTCTCGTGAAGGTATAATGTAGTCATCAGCTCGAATCTCCTCCACAGTCTTCATCTGTATGGCTTTCAGGAGCAGCAGCCAGGTCAACGGATTCCCGCAGCTCCCAGATACCTCGAACACGCGCACGCGATGGAGCAAAGACGCCAGCTTGCTGATTGTTTTGAATGTTTCTTGCTGAAAGGCTCCTTGCCCGAGATAAATATGGAAGGACTGGCACGTGGGTCGCAATCCAGGATACAAGGACAGGGTCTGCAACAGTGCTTCAGCGGATTTGCTGACAGAATCAAGATCTGGCGTACCCAGGTCGATTCGGCGGTACAAGACATGTCGAGCGACGAGATTGAATCTTTTGCACGTGAGAGCGATACTGAGGCCTGTTTCATAGTCCATAATCTGGTCGACGTCGTCTTCCCACGGATGGATGGCTTCGAAGAAGATCATCTCGAGTATCTCGATGGGGAAATCCAGAATCTCGACCGCCATTTCGGCGTCGAGGACGTGCTATCGAGATTCTGAGCAACGACTGCTGGGATAGAGATGAACGATGGTTAATTGAGTGAAGTGTCAAATCTGTGAGATCACATAGCCATAGCACTTGGACTGCCTCAGGCTCGGCCACTGCTTGAAATTCACTGTAGCCTTCATTTTGCTGGAGACTTTCGTTAGATCAGTCTGTTGACGGAGGTTGCCTTCGGTTCATTATATGGAGACTGCCATCGAATGAAGGCCTTAACCTCTCATGAAAGGTGACTAATGGCCTAAATGACCCGAATATAAGAAGCCATCTTGAATGTATTGTTGCTGTGTCTCTGGGAGAGAAAAAGAGAGGGCGTACAAAGCATACCTACTGTGCGAGAGCTAGGTGAGGTCATGGCCCAGAAGGGGACAATCAATACAAAGAAGAAACTGAAACACAAACACAGCCGACCTATGATCCCAACACATCACTTTATAACACCAAATCAATCAACCATAATAACACTCTTGCTCTGCCTCATGCAAATGGAACGTGCATTTCCCCCAGTACTCCCGCATGGGCCGATGAGCCGTCACGCCCGCAACATAGTTCAACAGATCAGACAGAATCTCTTTGGGCAGACCGGCTGCTGCCACCTTAGATAGCCATCTTTCATAATCTCTTGCCAGCATACTGACCAGAAGATGGCGAATAGGCGAACTCGAGCTCGTCTTGTCATACAGATACGCCACGAACTCCCCCCGGCAGCCATTGCATCGTCCCCAAGTCTCCCTCTTCGCATACAGCCTATGCATCAATGCATCCGCCACGGCGTCCTGGAAGAGAGTGTCGGCGAGATACGCGCCAAGCACGTATGCCTTTGCTAGGAGAAGCAGGTCACAGTACTCTGTTTCTCTTCCGATTCTTCGCTGACAGGAAGGATGTTCGTGTAGCGCCACTGCAGGTAGAGTTCAAACATGTCGGGCTCGTAGTCTGGGAGATTGACGACGTCGCTGGTAGATCGGACCAGGACCAGATGGTGGCTGAGCGGAAGAAGCTGGAGTATTTGCAGGCAACGGAGATGTGAATGTGGAAGGTGGCCATATCGTCGTCTTTGCCGACGTGAACTTGGAAGATGCCGCTGCGAAGGCTGCTATGGTCAGTACAGTTTATCTTGGTAGGTGAGATGTCTGCAATATACAGCAGTGTTTGCTTATCGGCAAGGCAGCTCATTTTTGTCTGCTTTGGGGCAATCCTCCAGGGATGCTGGTCAGCAGAAGTTTCGTGTTTGGCCATTCTGCGCAGCAGCGATGGAGATGTTAGAGAACAGGTCCAAGGTTAGAATTGCTTCAGTCTTATATACACGCCACTAGTTCGAACCACAGTTCAACTGAAACACAGACAAAGATGCCTTGAGACGCGAGACATCAGTTTGTCTTATATCCCAGACATCAACCCACAACTACCGTCTCTCCCACTCCATTTCCACATCCTTAATCCTCCTCCACGCTTCCTCTACTTCATCAGGAACATCAACATGCACAATGAACCCTTTCCCACTGGGCCCATACCCCTCCTCATCATCTTTAAGTCGTGGAATCTCCCCCATCAGCAACCCCAGGAACCGCGGTAACCTCCACAACCGCGACGCCTCAATCCCAACCGACTCATCATACACCAGCTTCCCTCCTTCAAGCCTAACCTTGGGTACAAAAGTCGGCCAGCTGGTAAACCGCAGGCTCTCCCGTCCAGAAAAAGCCTTCTCAAATGACGCCACCGTCCGCCGAGACATGGTCGGATCCTGCACAATTAGCATACTCCGGGGATGAATGCCGTCCTCCTCAAGAACCCTCTTCGTTTCAATCGCATTAGCGCCGCAGTTCGTCGAGCGGTCTTCAATCAGGACACGACATGAGCTCTGAATTCGCGGTGCATCAAAGCACCGGGTGAAAACGCGATAGAGGACCTGTGCTTCTGGTAGTCCGTCAATCTCCGGGAGGAGATGTGCGTAGCGTGGATCATTGGCGATCGCTTCGTAGAGATGAGGTGTGGAATGGCCGATACCGCCGCAGAGAACCAGCGTTTTGATTGCTGCTGGGTTATTCTCGAGGTGCGTGAAGACTTTCTCTGCTATGGGAAGGATGGCGGAGACACAGAGGACGAGGACATCTGCTGCATCTGATGGAGGGGAAGGCGAGGTAGTTTGGTTGAAAGCGAGGAAATGAGCGACAATGTTGATGTCGTTGGGATCCATGGATGGCATTATAAACTTTAGATTCTGTGCTATATATAGATCAAGGGAATCTGAGAGATGTTGGTCTACGGTTAGAACGAGTAGATGAAGCTGAATCAATTTAATCCACTTGTGGTTCTGAGGTGATGAGGGATGACTCCACTTGTTTGAATCCCTCCGCCATTGCTAAATCTAGTTAACCTGAAGGTTCTATTCCAAACATTTGTCTCATCGGATCATATGTATCATAATCATAGTCCTACGAGGCGACTTTTCTTAGCAAAGATATCACTAAGCAGATTGTCCATGAACTCAGTATAAGAGCCCGCACCATAAACTTAGTTTATCTGAAAGAGAAACGGTACCATGAGCAGTACTAATGGTATGTTAGACAGATGCTTCATCAGCAGCCTCATTATTAGCGATCGTGATCTACTGGACAGCTGGTTGTCAAAGGCCTTGACTACATTGTGGAAGTGCAGGCCAGAACAACCTAGCTCACCTCAAGCTTAAGAGTAAAACCTATTAGGGACGTGGATGACTTCAACTTTGTTCTCACCTGTTTTTTCCACTCCTCCCCTTTCTCTCCCTCCCTCTGTTTCTCTCTTCTTTTCCTCTACCGTTTGATAACATGAAAATGTCGATATCAATTACACTTGAGAAAGAATATCTGCTGAAATCAGAATTTTGTTGATCTCAGACCAGGCTCCAATCACGTCATTCGTATTTGACGCGGGGCCAAAGCTTCATCTAACCTGCAGAAAATGTTCATCAGTCTTCATCTCTTTTTTTTCCTTCTTCTTGTCCTTCGCCAATATTTCAAATCATCAAATCCGTCAGATTTACCTCGTGAATCAAAATGGCAGATGATCAAGACAAACTCACCGACTATCGGCTCAACGCCGCCACACTCAACACTGCCATCCAGAGTATTGGCATGGGCGCCTATCAATGGCAACTCTTCATTGTCATCGGCTTCGGCTGGGCAAGCGATAACCTCTGGCCGATTGTGACCTCGCTTATCCTGGGCCCTGTTACATCGGAATTCCACATCTCCAGTCCGCCATTCCTGACTCTAGCCCAGAATATCGGCCTGCTAATTGGCGCCCTGTTCTGGGGCTTTGGCTGCGACATCTTCGGCCGCCGCTGGGCATTCAATCTGACCATCGGTCTGACCGCAGTATTCGGGCTCGCAGCAGCCGGCTCGCCCACTTTCGCGGCGGTATGTGTCTTCAACGCGCTGTGGTCCATCGGCGTGGGCGGGAACCTCCCCGTCGACTCGGCCATCTTCCTCGAGTTCCTCCCGGGCTCGCACCAGTATTTGCTCACTGTGCTGTCCGTGTACTGGGCGCTCGCTCAGCTGCTCGCCAATCTGATCGCCTGGCCGATTCTAGGCAATCTTACCTGCCCCGATGAAGAGACCTGCACCCGTGCCAACAACATGGGCTGGCGTTACTTCCTCATCGCCATGGGCGGGATAGCCATGGTCATGTGTCTCCTCCGCTGGACTTGTTTTACCCTGTATGAATCGCCCAAGTTTCTAATGGGCAAAGGCCGCTACGAGGATGCCGTGGCCGTCGTCCATGAAGTCGCCCGCCGGAATGGCTCCTCCGCCTCCTTGTCCGTGGACGACCTCATCATCCCTGAAACCTCCGCAGAGCAGCCCACCACTGCCGGAACAAACGTTCTTATCCGCCAGCGGCTGGATAACTTGACCCTCAGTCACATCCGGGCCCTCTTCGATACCCCCGGCCGCGCCTGGTCCACATCGCTGCTTATCGTTGTCTGGGGCCTTATCGGCCTCGGATTTCCCCTCTACAACGCATTCTTACCCTACATCCAGCAGACCAAGGGCGCCGAATTTGGCGATGGCTCAACGGCTCTGACCTACCGGAACTCACTAATCATCGCTGCGGCAGGCTTACCTGGTGCCTTGATCGGCGGCGTGCTAGTCGAAATACCCTACCTCGGCCGGCGGGGCGCCATCAGCTCATCCGCCGTGCTGACAGGTGCGTTTCTGCTAGCCTCTACAACCGCCATGTCATCATCTGCCCTGCTGGGTTGGAACTGCGCGTATAGCTTTACCAGTAGTATTCTCTACGCGGTTCTCTATGCGTACACGCCCGAGATGTTCCTGACCAAGGACCGGGGGACGGGGAATGCGTTGACCGCGGCGGCCAACCGGGTGGGCGGGATCCTGGCGCCGGTGATCGCGCTCGTCGCCGATCTGAAGACCAGTGTGCCGGTGTATGTGAGCGGGGCTTTGTTTGTCGTAGCTGGGTTGGTGGTTTTGCTGATTGGATATGAGTCGAGGGGGAAGTCGAGTTTATAGTCGTAAAGAGCGTCCTGCACACATCGTACATAGACTTCAGCTAGACATGAACGATAAAGGGTACTTCTTAATATGAATCACTTGTCATGTCGCTGTATTGTTTAGGCATGGCAGGCAAGCTAGGAGCAAGCAAGAGCAAAGGAAAGGGAGAGAGGACATGGGGGAGGACCCAGAAGGTCATAGAGTGTTTCAGGCATCTTGGTCCGTATGGCTCAGGGAGACAGCTTAGGAGTGTATCTCAGGATATAATTCCATGGTCCTACGGAGCTCTAGGAAATCCTTAGACTTGGGGACTGGAGGTAACTAGTTAAAGACATCATGTCTGCCTAAGGCAGCCGGGGATGGAGAAGCCACTACTACAGGCTATCCAGCCCACTAAATATTACTCTGAGACATCTGAGAACACAGCGACGTTAATCAGAGGGAAGGCTATCCAGGCCAGAAGGCTTTAGCACAGCTTCCTTGTCAACACCCAGTGAGAGCGTGTATAGTATCTACCAGGAAACAAGGTACTCTAGAACAGATCCCATGGACATTCATACTAGCCAAACATACACATCATAAATCTCCGTCTCTCCATCCGTCTTGCATCCTCTCCAGCCCTTCCAAGGCATAAAGATCTCAAGATGTATGGTATACCCAACTCCAACACATCTTCCTTTCTTCCAAGCCAAACCCACCAATATCACATCCCAATCATCACCTCACCACAATTTCAAGGATGGAGTCTATAAAAACCATTAGAAACAGTGCAGCCAATCAACAGGGCTCTAAAATACAGCAGAAGGAGTAGCTGATGACATGGAGGATGCGGATGCCACGGGTGTAGATGATGGCAATACGCACCAGACGAATCGAGCAGGGTGACTAGGTGCATGGAGCGAGATTGGGGTGGAGGCGGCCGCTAGAATCGAGCTGGGAGATGATGAGGATGAGGCTGACGCCGTCGCAGAGACCATGGTCAGAAGCGCCAAAGTAGTGGTGATGAGGGTTGTGAGGTGCATTGTGCTTTGTGAGGTGTTCTGTCTGTAGAGAGGAGGATTGAAGTGAGGTATTGACTGTTGGCGAGAATTGAGGGAGGAATTGCTGCCCATTTATATGTGCTGAGTGATAACCACAGGCCATATTCTGGTGTTGATCGAGATGTAGATGTCTAGCTGTATAAGACATGTCGTACTTGTTCTTCGAGTTAGTTGCAGCAGTGTGGACTGTTGTTGATGATCTGTGTCTTACGGATATATCGATCAACGTCATGTTTCCCTGTTTGCATCAGAAGCGGGTTTCTGGCTGTAAGTGATTAAACATACTCGGATATAGCTTAACATGATCAACGTTGCTGTTTATGATAGCGTGCGCTCTAAGCAAGGGTCATGATTGCCCTTGCATTCTGGGAGATCAACAACTTCTGACCGCAGATCGTGGCCAGGATATAGTTGTCAAGATATGTACGATTCATGCCTTGCCGATACGTATGTACACATTTTCCATGAAGCTGAAACCCACCATACAGTTTTATGTACGAATGCTATATACAACTCAACAGTTAAGGCTGCACCTTTGCCAGATAGCTTCGGACAGGCACGTTCCGATCTCTCGAAGGATCCGGAAATCCCTCCACCTTGACACCCTTACGGAAGAGCAGACAATACGTCGACCCTCCAAAGTGGAACATACCGAGCTGGTCACCCTTCTTCAGATGCTGACCCTCCTTGACTGTGATCTCACATGTGGAAACCTCGCACATACCGATACCCATGAAGCACATAAGGCCAATGGCCGGGTGATCTGCCTCTATGAAGATCAGTGCTCTTGTTGCCGTGGCGCTGTTATACTCCTGGGCGGTGACCTGGCCGTTCAGGTCGATCTGATGGGGCGATGGATCCCCTACTCCCTCAAACAACGGTTCGGAGTAGTAGGTCCCTTCAACAACATATGCTTTCACCACCTTGCCGCTGACAGGTGAATGCCAGCGGTGGTAGCTGAGCGCGCTCAAGAACGCTTGGTAGACAGTTCCGCCGACAAACTGCGGCGTGAACTCGTCGTGGTTCAGCATATCGCGGACTGAGTAGGGCTGCTCTTTGATCCAGAACATGTCTCGCTCTTTGACGTTGTGGGCCACCTTGTAGGGCTGCGCCTCGCATGCGTTTGCGATGACGGTGTCATCCTCAGGCGACGCGATGGGTCTCACGCCCTCGCGGAAGACGCGAGTAAAGAAGTCGTCCCACGATTTAAATCCGTGGTGCTTTGCCGATGGGTCACAAACGTACAGGTCCTCGAAGGAATGGCTGGTCTCGCCAACATTACCGACCTCCTCCAGATCGGCCCTGGCCGTGGAGCCGAACCAGCCGTTGGAAGTGTCGTTGAGGACCGAGGCAGACTCGGGAGACTTGAGGTAGTCTCCCCACGCATTGAGAATCTTCTTGACCATCTTGTTGATTTCGGGGTCCAGATACGCGGCATAGCCGCTAGGCGTACCCATGCTCCAGTCCAACACTGCATTGATTGGGAGACCAACGAGACCAACGCGATGAGAAAAGTCGTTCCAGCTAGGCGCAGTGGTCAGAAGGTAGTTCAAAACCTGCAGGAGGTGGTGGTAGTCGCGGATCTGAGCGCAGCCTGTCGGATCGGTACTGTATGGTCGTTTACGAGGGATCTCGGCGAACATGGCGGAGATGAGCAGGTAGACGCGGGAATTGGATTCGATCAGTTCTTTGAATTCTTGCAGAACAGGGTGCAATTTATGGGACGTTTTCTTGTCGACATGTGTGATGACTCCGCCCAGCCATTCCTGGTGCGCAGCATGGCTCGAGGGCATCCATTTTCCGACGCTGTTTTGTCAGTTTAGAGCTGCTTGGCCAGTTGAGAATGCGAATGCTTACCGATGCAGCTTTGGAGTATCGTGATCCTGCTTACCGCCCATGGTATCTCTAGTAGTGTGTGTCGTGCTGTAGAAATTGGAAATACGGTCTCTTGGCGAATCAAATAATTGTTCTAGGGATGAGATGTGCTGAGATCGAGAGTAGTGTATGTGTTGACGAAGCTGGGTTTATATGGTGACAGGAGGGTGATGTCATAGGTACCGATAGAGCCAATTGTGGAGAGAAACAAGAACAGCCAAGCTACACCCTAAAGTAGTACGATTCCATCCTGTGTATCGAGTGGAGAATATTGGATAATATCTGATGATGTCAATCACGAAATAAACTCTGGAGAGACTGTGCCTCTGCATTATCTAGCTGCTGGTGGGATGGCCCCTCCTGATATACTATATTCACTTGTGATCAACCATCACCACACCATGTGCTAGGGATGGCTGCTAGGGCTGAATTCAACATGAGCTTTAATGGTTCAGAGGACTCAGACTCGAAGATACGTCTTTGATGATCTCGCAACCACTCAATCCAACAGTCTATTGATGTTATTGCACGCCTTTATATCCAGGGTCATATACCACGCAAAAAGCTGAGCTATAGCTTGTAGTGTATTCCGCTGTGGATGGTGTCCTAAGAGCCTAGCAGAGATCAGCCAGGGACACGAAAGAAAGCCACATCGTGTGCATAGGATGGCCGCTGAAACCCCTACCATGTAGCGCTGCCGGCTGGGATTTAGTAGTCCTAATTTGTCACAGGGGTCGAGCATGATTGCTGATGAGCAGACTCTGGTAGCACCCTATTCGAACCGTGAACAAATGTTATCAGTTCCACTCGCAACCATGGCCGAGTGAGCAAATGTCAACCATAAAACCATATGGTTAGAAAGGCGTCAGGACGACAATTCTTGTCATAGGATTAATGGTAGTGTAATGCTGTGTTCAACAGCACATGACGTCCGAACGGCCATACAAGGGAATCTTTCAGCACCTCCGCTAGCTCTCCTTGACACAAACCAGGGAAATCTCAGCTCAGGCTCAGTCGGACGTGCTGCTACTGGCTCAAATTGGTCATTATGGGAGTGAGAAGACAGTTTCTCAGTTGGATTTTCGCGTGCTGGCGTCGCAAGCCCACAAATGGCTCCGACTTGGAAAAGCTACCGGTCGAACGTCTGTACGAGAAAGCAGACTCACACTTGGAAAAGCTACCAGTCGAACTTCTGTACGAGATAGCAGACTTCCTTGCTGCTCCAGATCGGTGTTGCTTGTCGCTTTGTAGCCATCGACTATTCAACGTCTTTGGACACAAAAGTCGGCTTGAACCAAAGACCGAACACTGGGGAATGTTTTTGCAGCAACTTTCTCGAGATCTCCCGCGTCATGTTTACTGCCACGCGTGTTCTGTCATTCATGAATGCAAGCATATTCTGCCACCTTCAATGCTGCCCGATCCTCCACCCTTACCGAAGCACGACGAGCTAGCAAAATTGCATCGGCTGAAGGCGCCAGTGCAGTTGCGCCCCTGGAGATGGAAATATTACTTCTACCATATACATTTACAGCTTGCCATGAAAAGGCATTTCTGCGGCCCGGCGCATGGGATATCGACCGAATCATTGGCATACGTCGAGATCCTGCCCTCGAGTGTATATCCACTCACAGCATTGTTGTCAGTGGACGCGCAGATATGCCATGGGCCGCGTTTGTGTCTTCGCATTCAGAGCTGGAGCTTGGTAAAGGATTTCGTGCCGACTTCGTTTACCAATGTCCGTATATGTTATCATCTCCACGCTGGGAGCGCACCAGCAGTGGAATTGATACAGTCAGAGTGGGACATTTGCAAAAGTCGGGGTGAAAAGCCGTCAGATCCGAACATCTACCAGTGTTCCGTTTGCGGTATCAACTATCAAATGGAAGTGGTTGACTGCGATAGCAAAGGGACTGCCTTAATTATTACTAGATGGCTCGACTTAGGATCAGGCCTCGACCCCAATGATCCCAGGTGGAAAAGACATCTCTTCGGATATTCGTTTCGGCTAGAGAATGAGGCAACCAAGTCAGATGGAACACTCCGCTCTCAATTCGAGCAGAAGAGTGCCGTCTCGCTCGATGCGCTTACCCGCAAGAATGCATCTTTGCTGAAAAGTTATGAGCCCTCAAGCCAGACGATATCGGAGGGGAACAAAGCAACGCCTGACTATAGGAAAGGCTGTATCTCTACTTTATTCAAGCCTCGCTTTGCCTCCGGAAGCTTCCCATTATATTTCATCTTTCTTTGAAGCAATGCATTCCTTACCAGTCACCTGATACTTACGCCTTTTTTCAAGACTACAGCACTTCTTCGCCCTCTTCGTCTCGCTCCCCACTTCGGGTATACTTTCAAATATTACACCAAATGGTCGAGGTCAACGCCTTTTCAGTGGTCTGAAAATCTAATTGACTTGACTTTCTATTCGAGGATTCCGAATGGGCTGGCAGCCTGTCTACTGTGAGACGATATGTATTTCCATTGATAAGCTTTGTCAGTTAGAATAGAGAAGATCACATACGATTTACAATTCCGAGGAACCTTGAGAAATGTAATATAGAGTATATACACCGGAATGCGAAAATTCTTGCTTCGAGACCTATGATCTATCGTTATGTTCTATGTATGTTGGTAAGTGCTGGTAATCTAGCCTGCTGTCTATGCCAACATCTACAGCTTCACCCCGGTCGTTGTTGCGCATACGCATCCTGTCCATCTTTCCTGCCAGCCTTGACCCATGGCCACCTTCAGCATCCGGCTTATCATCTCATCAAATACATCTTCATCTTTATCTCCTTCCCTCCCCACACGAGCCACCAGAGTCGAATCAACTCCTTGGCTTTCCTCACGCCCTCCTCCGACAAACCCCTCAACAGATTCAACACATTACCCAACCACTGCTGCGAGACCTCTCGACTATCTATGACTCCGAGATAACTGCCGCCTCTTTAAATTCGAATGTCTTCGCGGATGAGCCGAAGCATGGTATGCTGCACAAACGCCAACCCCTTTATGAATCGCGTACTCGGGAATAATCCAAGCGAAGATACCGAGTTTCATCTCGCTCAGAGTCATATTTGCAGCTTTGACGCTGATCCGGATGACACAAGCAGACGCGAAACTTACACCCTCACCACAGGCGAGCTGTTGATGCAAGCGATTGTTACTTTGGCGACTGGTCGATCGCGTCGAATAACGCGCCAGACCGGTAAATCGAGCCTTACCGGGGTTTCCGCCTTGTACTACAGGTGTACAGCCCTTGTTGATATCCATGCCTGTGCAGAAGGACTGCCGTCTTCCTGTGATGAGGAGTCGGAAGACGGAGGGGTCGGCTGTGAGGTCCTCGACGAGCCGGAGGAGGTAAGGTTGCCCTTCTTTGGTCGGTTGATGATAGGCTTGACGTTTACGCCAGAGCGATAGGCTAACGAACCGTTTGGATCTTTGACCATAGTCCAGGATATGTGTTTCTTGTTGGCTGTTCGGGACAACGACGACGACCGTTTGGACGAAACAAGGCCGTGCTTCGCAGCCAGCGCGGTCCCAGCACGACTGGCATTAGTCTTGGACAGCCGCTGAGAGATCCACACACCCGTCTCGACGAGCTTGAGCAGGTCAACACCCGTGTCGATACCCGCCGATTCAAACATGTACACCAGATCCTCCGTCGCGACGTTCCCTTTGGCCCCTGGCGCATAGGGACATCCCCCCAGACCACCCACGCTGCTATCAAACACCCGCACGCCGCAGTTGTACGCTTCCCAGACATTGGCGACCGCCTGGCCGTAGGTATCGTGGAAGTGGCCCGCCATTTTGTCGAGCGGGATGCGGTGGTCGGCTAGGTAGTGAAGCAGGCTGCGGACTTTGTCGGGGCTGCCGACACCGAGTGTGTCGCCTAGGCTGACTTCGTAGCAGCCCATATCTAGCAACTCTTGAACGAAGTGTAGCACCGCCGATGGCTCAGTAGGTCCATCGAATGGGTCTGAGAAAATACAAGAGACATACCTGTCGAGATCAGCAATGCGTCTTGCAAAGAGAACCGATGAAGGAACTGCCTACCCTCGGACGGTAATCCCACACTCAATCGCTTTCCTCGCTACGGCCTTTGCTCGTTCTATGCCCTGCTGCACTGTGCAGTTGATATTGGCTTTACTGAACCCCTCCGTCGCACTCACGAACACCGCAACCTCCTTGACTCCATGCTCGATCGCAATATCCAGTCCTTTGAGGTTTGGCACAAGGACAGGCAGCCGAAGGCCCGATTGTCCTTGTAGTTGTCTGATGGACTCATTCCCCAGTACATCGCGACAGTCCGCCAACTGTGGGATCGCCTTTGGCGAGACCACGGACGTCAACTCGATAGTCCGTAGGCCCGTCGCGCGTAGTCGCTGGATTAACTCGAGCTTCACGGACGTTGGAACAGGCTCTTTGATATTCTGCAGGCCATCGCGGGGCCCGACCTCGACGATGCGGACTGCTTTGGTTATTGTCATTGTGCCAGTATACTTGGGCGCTACGCTAAGGAGTGAGACCGAGTATTCAAGATGCAGCGTGCAGATCCATATCTCCCACAAATATGCTTCTAAATTTCTTTACGAAATCGGACGGGATGGGCCCGATTATTTCTATTCCAGGTCAGTCCCCTCTAGCAGTTATTTCTAGTTGTCATCATCGGAGTCGGGCGGCCGGACCGAGGCAAGTCTAAAGTCCGCAAAAGGAAATCGCGGATGTTATGACGTTGATCGCTGCTTTCAACTCTCCACCAAAGAAATAACTAGCGTTCCGCACGGTTACTTCCGGTCCCGCCTGGGGAGATAATGATGATTAATAATAGAGTGCAAAACGTCCTTGATATGGAGCATTTTCATGGGGTACCTACTCCGGAGTAGATACTTCATGTGGACACAGTGGGATGCAGATCGGGTGCCGAGTGACGAGGCTCGAGAACATTCTAGGAATGCGTGCAGGATCACAATCTGAGTCAGATGGCAAACGCAGGCATCAAACGTGTTTTCAGAATAAATGTGCAGCCATCAAATAAATTATTTTATCTGCCAGCCGTGATTAACTTGCTGCCTCGCCCAGCCCCAAGAACATGCTTCTCGTGCTTTCAGCTTTCCACTTCCGGTTTGGGGATATCATCCCCGATTGCGGCGTTCCACCCAGAATACTGTATCAGATTCGTATCTCGTCGTCGGACAGCCTGGCAGAAATATCCGTTCGAGCCTTAATAAACAAGCAGCAGCCTCTCCGCATCTCTTATCATGCAGTCCTACAAAACTGGTTTCGCTGACGGCCCCGTGCGCCACAAGTCGCTCTGCGATCTCAGCAGGCCAGTCATTTTCTTACCCTGCCATCGTAATCAGTATAATCTCCAAAAACAGAAGATAGTGTCTCATCGAATGATAGTAGCCTTAGTCAACCCTGTTATATGCCGGTATGCATCTCTTAAAAGCATGCCTGATCCTCAGTATGCATCCATCTCACTGCGGCCTCCTTCGCGACAGCGGCCGATTTCAGCATAAATGTCTGATTTTATGTGGACAACGCCATGGCCTTCAAAAGGTACGGTGTTACATAGAATGGTATGGCTAATATAAATGACCACCGATTAGCATTTCTTCGTCAAGGTGCGTCCCGCAAAATAAAAAAGTATCATACTTACCTAGGGCTGCTTTGCTAGATATCCATTTTGCAAGAGATCAGATTGGAAAGATAAGTTTGGTAAGAGTAATGGCATAGCTAAGCCCTGCAGTTCTAGCAGTTTATCCGTCTGATAGGCTTCAGGTCTCCTTTATAAGGCACCGGATTTGCTGTAGAGATAGAGGAAGGGTTCGTTCGAAGGGTCGGATTAATCTGTTGATAGCATAATCTCCGCTATCTTGATATCGCCCTCGGGGTTTAAGCAGAGGGAAATAAGCAGAATGCCATACATGTAGTGAGCCATCCCGAACAGCTCTGGGTAGAGAAGGTAAAAGGCTGCGCCTTATGCAGGGGGCTCATCTGATATTTGTGCTTGTCATCTAGTGGCTGTGAATGCTCCGCGTCGTCACCTTGCGCTCAGTGTCAACCCAGTCCATCTACTGTCGCTTCCATGCAGTTGACACAGCGTTAGGAGATTTAGATCGTTGTCACGTCTGAAGCCTCGGAACGGAAGTGAAATAGCGCTGGGGGAGAAGGGTCTACTGGCACCGATGACGAGTAAGGATCTGTCGGTGTTGAAAAGAACGATGATGATGCCCAGTCCGGCGCATTGTCATGGTAATTGATATCATAGAGATGGAGGCCAGTTTTGCGGCCTCTGTAGACGGAAGTTTGAGATGAACTGGAAGAAGGGATTTGCGGTCGACGAAGGCGTGGTCATTCAGTGGAGTAGCTGACAGCTGTGCACCACCATTTCCAAAGTTGAATCCAGTCTATTGAATGGAAAGTTTTTCTCTGTACAATAGAATGAGATAGGTGTTCAGAATTTGCAAAGATAATGATGACAGTGAGTGAGGGAGACAGGACGAGGGAGAAACACTGAGTGGGAGCAGGAGGATCTAACCACCATCCAGCAGGTCCTTATTACAAAATCTGAACAACTAAATGCTTCATAACGACACCATAGCAATACAAAAGACAAAGGGGAGAGAATCTCAGCAAAACGAAATGGAGACCCTCCTCTGGATACCTCTTTCTGATACCACACGAGAGTCTTTCCATTCCGCCCGGCTGGTACTGTGCGGTGCTGTCCCTGAAAAGGACGTTCTACACAGCACCTGCCGTATTTGAACGGGCTCAGCTGGTGACTGCAGGAGTCTCACAAGAGGCAAGTGTTGACCCCTGCACCACCGGCGCCGGTTCCGTGTTGGAGAGGAAGTGACGATGAGGCATATGTCGTCTAGTGCTTTGCCTAATCGGGGGCGGTAGCTGGTCGCCTGGCATCTCAGGCAAGAACAAAACAGCCTGAGGCATCCTTGAGTCCCTACAATTTTCTACCAATATACTCGCTCGCTCTCTATAGCTTGCTCTGCTATCTCGGTCTTTCTTCCGCACCATTGGCAGCATTCGTTTCCCTTCAAGGTAGTCAAGGACCAGAGGAAAGGGCACCACGGCCGTGTAGCATGGCTCGGAATGTAGCTACGGATCTGTAAGCATTCAATTGTCTATTCTTTACCTGCTTCAGACCATGGCCTCCTTTTGAAGCTTCAAATTCCTTCATTGGCAGAACTTAGGGCTGACCTCGAGTGAGCTAACCCGAAGTGGAAACCCCTGGGATGAGATCATGAGCCTTGGTGCCTGAGAAGCCTGACAGTCGTCGTCAACCATCCCAAATGAACAGTTCAACATCAACACAGCACTCCTTCGACTTCGTCCAGGATTCATCACCATCCGCTTACGGAATCGATCGATTTGATTTACATGACCCGCTTATTGATCGACGGCAAGTGGCTGGGAAGATTACTATCTACACCGTTTGCTGACTTTGCTGACTGGTAGCCAACAGCATGCCGACATGGCCATTCACAAGTCATTCTTTGTCCGCCTCGGCTACAATCTCCTCTTCCCCAGGATCAAAGCTAGGCAAGCCTAGCGAATTAGGAATTTTCATTAATATCAAGAACCAGGGTCGTGAATCATCTTAGCAAACTCCGCATTTTATCGGATTTCCCCACATCGGTCATTCCCCAGTTTCTCCCTGTTGTTGGCGAATAACATCCTATTCCATTTGGTCGAATCCCATCTCCTTGGCACCTGCACCTTTCCTTTCCGATGTATCCGATTGACGCCTCTCTGCATGGCCAGGCACAGTCAGACTGGCTGTTCCTTGATTAGGAGCTTGCCCGGGGCTTGCAAAATCCGCTATAAAAGAGGTAGTTGCCTGGTTCCCCTTGTCATCTTCCTCTCAGGGTACGAGACTTTGACCCCAAGCCAACATGCAGCTGAAGTCTTTGGCGGTCCAACTGCTCTTTTGCTCGTTGGTATCTGCGGCGCCTTCGCAGCCCAATAATGCGTGCAAAGCTCCAGGAGGCTCCCCTGAGATCAATTCTCTGAGTACTTTGCAGGCGTTGAAGTACAATAATTTGGGCTCCGAAAACAATGGTACGGCTGCGGTTCTGATTTATGATCGAGTGGACTACGGTCAGGCGCAGGTGCAGTGTGCTGCCATCGGGGAGAGCCTTTATTCACTGCAGGATGCGACCGAAACAAACCGGACCGAACTTCAATATCAGTTCAATTATCTCATTCATAATGGCGATCTCCAGAGAAGCGACCAGGTATGGGTTGCAAAATCTTCCTCAAAGGACTGCTCCGCGTATTCTCTCGGCCGCAAGGAGACTGTGAGCATACCCTGCCATATGCAGCTGCCCGCGCTTTGTACGTCCAAGGTTCCTCCCACCACAGACACGAACAAGGTTGTTGTCGAGTCATCCAAGATTTCGGTAATGCACGAAGGTTACACTTTTACTGGATATCGCGACGCACGTTCATTCCGGTTCCTGGGTGTTCCTTTTGCCAACCCCCCTGTCAAAGACCTGAGATTCGCACCGCCTCAGCCGTATAGTGGTCCCAAGTCGCTTGATGCTACCAAATTCTCCGACTCTTGCGTCCAGTCGGTCTCCAGCTTTGGTACCCTGGGCAACGGTGGCATCTCCGAGGACTGTTTGTATCTCAACATCTACACCCCTGTGCTTCCTGCGGATGGGGCGCGCAACCCTCTGCGCAAACCAGTGGCTGTCTACTTCTACGGAGGTGCGTTTACCAAAGGTAGTGCGTCCATGATCGACTACGACGGGGGCAACTTTGCAAGCCGCAACGACGTTGTTGTGGTGACGGTCAACTACCGCCTCGGCGCCCTGGGTTGGTTGGCTACTGGCAGTCTCACGACAGGAAGCTATGGCATCCGCGACCAGATCCTCGCCCTTGAATGGATTAACAAGTACATTGAAGCGTTCGGTGGTGACAAGTCACGAATTACGATTTTCGGTCAGTCAGCAGGTGGCCAGAGTGTGACAGCCTTGCTATCGTCCAGCGCCGCCAAAGGTTTATTCTCCGGTGCGATCGTCCAGTCGGCTCCCCTGGACTTGCCTTGGTTTAACCGCGAGGTATATGAAGAAATCGTCGCACCGGGAGTCGCCAAGGCTGTCGGCTGCAACCAAACCGTCTCCGAAGAGAAGCTGCTGGCCTGTCTGCGCTCGGTGCCCGCATCGGCCTTCCTCGACAACACGACCGAGTTCCAGTCCGCCATGACCGCCGTGAACAAGAAAGTCGCCGACGGTTTCCTGCACGTCTCGACAATGCTCGCCTCCATTGAGCCCCTGATGCCCATGGTCGACGACTCGGGCAGCGGCGTGATCGACGACCAGTTCTACACCCTGCTCGCCGACAACGCTCTTCCCAACCGCGTCCCAACCATGTTCACCACCGTCACCGACGAAGCCGCCCTCTACGTGGGCAGATTCGTCCCACAAATCGAGGCATCCACCACAAACCTCAACCTCCTCTTCGGCATGGCATACCCCGCCGACCTAGCCAAGTCCCTCGCCGCCTCCAACGCCTTCCCCCTCAATCCCTCCGACCCAGACACCGTTCGCAATGTCGGCGCCCAAGCTCTAACCTACAGCGAATGGACCTGCCCACAAGCCCACCTCCTCGCCAACGGCGGCGCCACCGCCTTCCCAGCCCTCTACGAACTCGAAATCACCCACGGCCACATCCAAACCAACGCCGGCGTCCCGGCCATCTGCTCCCCGAACTCCGACTACAACGCCACCTGTCACTCCGCCGACGTCCTCCCCGTCTGGGGCACGCTCAACAGCAAGTCCCGCAACGTAGACCCCTACTACGACACCACCGACCTCCTCCACTCGCAGCTCCTCGACGATGTCTTCGGCGCTTTTTTTCGAACACGCACCCCGAATCCTGACCCGGAGATGCTCCGCGTTCGTGGGCCCGCCTACGCCGCGACGTACGAGATCTTCGGGAAGCACGGGTACTATATTCCGCCGTATCATCCCGACCAGCGCAATGTCAGTCTGCTCGATATGCCGCCTACCTGGACGCAGAACCCGCATGGCACGGACAAGTGCAGGGTGTTTGAGGAGTATGGCTTTACTTTCCAGCGGGCTTTTGCCTGAGGTTGAGAGAGGTGTACATACGTTACTTGCGTTTGACTGGTAGCTCCAGTCTACGAATATAAGTTCGCACATAAAACTAGGCATAATGAATAGGAATAATAGTAGTATATTGATCAGCACCTCTACCCATAAATATAACCGAGTTAACCTCTATCATTACTCATAAGGGCGTCTAATCCTCCACGTCATACCAATCAAACCGGTAGTACAAACTAAAGCAAGGAAAGGAGAGCCACGAGATCGAACGGATTTCGTAGGATATGCGTATGCACATGCAGATAAAAAGGATAACATCCAGACGCCGTTCTCCGTCATGATAGCAACCGTAACTGATAAAACGAAAAATAAGAGAGACGTGGCATCATTACTCATTACGTCATGACAAGTTACACGCCAGTGCGACTATCGCTCGTACATGGCCGATCTCCGCCCCGACGGGGGCGGGTAGTCCACGTCTACCATGGGAACGGGCACGCAGCGCTTGCTGCCCTGCGGCGGACTAGCCCAGCCCGGGACCCGGGATGATCGTCCCGAATAGGAGCGGGTGCGCTCGAGACCCGCGGGGCGGGCGCCCGACGAGCCGTTTGGAGTCGGGTCGCGGTAGCTGTGCCGGCGGGTGTCGTCCATGACGTAGGAGTCCATGGGGCGGGGGTGGTGCGGATGCGGATGCTGGACATAGTTCTCGCTGATGCCGTTCATGTAGCGGGGGTGGACGTGGGTGTAGAGGGGTACCTCCTGCGAGGGTGTGACGGCGGGCTGCTCGTGGAAGATGTGTTCGCGGAATCGGACGCCCGCGGATCGGCTGGGGGGTGGTTCCTCGTTGTACGCTCTCGACTGGCGGGGTTTCCGCGCGCCGTCGGAGTCGTATAGCCGGCCCATGTGTGCGGTGTGGGCATCGCGGTGGGTATGTCTTCGTGGGGATTCTGGGGGTACGTCTTCTTCGGGAACGCGGGCGTATGCTTCGTGCGAGTGGCGTCGAGCGTGGGAGGAGCGGGGCAGTGATAGGTTCCTCGAACGGCTGTGTCGTCCTGATCTCAGTGGTTGTCCGTGGGCTGGGGATCCTGAGTCTTCGGACGAGGCATCTGAGGTGTCTTGGCCACGGTGGGGTTCTGTGCTTGTTGGATAGACGAAGGAGTGCGGTCGTTCACGGCCTCTTGATTTTGTGGCTGGTCTCGCTCGCAAGGCCGGCGATGGGGCGCGGGGAGATGGGAATTCAGGCACCTCCTCTGCACGGGGAAAATAGGTTGATTTGACTCTTCGAGTTGCGGACGTGGGAAGCTCGCCACTACGCTGTCTGTTATGGCGACTCCTCCGAGGCGGATCCTCTGGCTCCGTGTGTCGTCGGTGCTGTGGTGATGGAGGCCGGTGACTCGAAGTGTGGTCCTCTTGTTCAGGCGGTGCATCCTTGTGGCCGAATTGCCAGTGATATGTGCGGAAATTGGGCGGAGAGGATCGCAAGACATTCTTCCGCCAGTAGTCGAATTCAAAGCGTCGGCTCACTCCCTCATGCCACTCCACCATCTCCGGGTCCGGTTCCGACGGGAAAGCGTCCCGAGGGATCGTCTTTGGAAAAGTTCCTCCGTTGGGACTCTCAATATTCCACAGCGCAACGGCATTCTGCAAATAGCGCGCATGTTCGTCAGGGTCCAGGAGCAGCTGGATCGTCTGCCATCTCACAAAGCCGTTGGGTTGCAATGCTGGGATGGACGGCGGCTTAAAGGGATCATTCGTGGGCTGAATGCTGTGGAAACACCCCAGACGCTGATAGATGAATGACAGGGCTGAGGGCTTTGTCTCTAGGAAGAGTATGTCATAGTTCCCGCCGACTTTGCGATAGAAGGCGGCCATCCGATCCGGAGTGAGGTCGGGGGTAGCGTATTCGTCGAAGGTGGTCTAGAAGACATTAGCCACCTGCGTGATATGAACGAGGCAGTATCACCAGACTGACCATCAACTGTGCAATCCCCAGACATAGCTGTTCAAGTAACGGGGCAGGACTCTTGTCGGGGTTGATCAACAGTCCCCAGGAATTGGCGCCCGCGTCTGCATCTTGTGCGGCGGACATGACCGGGCGGAGTTGATGGCCACGGCGGGAAAGTGACGTGCATCTGAACGCAGCGACAGGTTTTGTTCCTCAATGGGCCAGATTCAGATGGAAGGAGGTATATGAGATGGAGCAGCGCTCGAGAGAACCAAAGACAAAGTGACCGCAGTAGGTGTGCGTCGATATATGATAGATAGGCAACAGGAGCGGTCAGGCAGCTCTGCTCCGCTCCACTGCGGGGTGGCCCAAGGCCCCAAAGCGATTTCGTTTGCTGGCAGGAAGCCAACTCAATCCGCCTCATCTGCAATTAGACGCGGAGAGTCACCGATGATTGACCGACGAAGACGATGGAAGATGGAACGCTGCAACGGCGCAGGATCATCGATGCACGATGCTGTTTTGGTGTTTTTCCATGCCTTAAGGAAGTCAGATTGTGGCCTGAACGCCTAAAGCCTGACAGCCCCGCATGTGACCTGACATGACCTGACATGACATGACATGACACCGTTGGGATGGGGCCATGAGTCTGTCCATGACTGCGTGAACACTCACCGGAAGTCAGTTGATTTATTGATTATTGATTCCCGTCTTGAGGATTATCAGGTACCTCTCATTGCTATCCACTGATGAACCATGGTCTGGCCGTTCCACCAATTAACAAAGGCAGTTTCAGGGGCGATCAGCAAATTAGGCCTGAAGGATAAACTAGTTTTCCAACACTGCTTATTTACTGCCTATTCTGCAGGTACTTGATACTGGAGTCTTGGTGGTGTTCTGCATATCTGCGACCGCGAGTACTTCCACCATCTGCGATTTCCTTCCAGAGGCGTGTTTTCAGTCGTCGAGAGAAGTTCAGATACAAGAGCGACCATGTTGCTTCCCACCCTGCTAGAATTTGAAGCCAATCAGCTGATTAGACAGCCCATTTATTTGTCATGTTACTGAATTCTTTCCAGGAGCAAACTTCATCTGACCACCCTCATGCATCCTCAGTCTTTTCGAGAATCAGCCAAGGTTGCATGCAGGCTCCCCGGCACCGAACTATTGTGGCTTTGACGAGGTGCATCTTGGACCTGGCTCGCCAATCTGCGGCGTTCGTTCATATCCTCTTCAGAGATCACGAGCTCTACAGTTTCTAACTGAAGAGTTGTGTCTTTATAGCTTTCCTATGCTTATTTATTCCTTCCTATTGAGAAATTGCTTTTGCGGCCAGATTAAACCCCTGTACGACAAGGAAAAGCTAAAAAAACATGCAGCAGAAAGACAAGCAAGACAAGTCGCAGGTGAGACTGTCTGATAACTCAAATTATCTATTATTAGACGACATGCGAATTTACCTTCCCGTGATTCTTCGTGGTTGCTCAAGTAGGTGGATTTGTCAAGGACGAGGCCCGTTTAAAACGCAGATAGAAGGTTGTTTATAATTGGTGGGAGTCCATAACACTGCCGTTATGATCGACTCTGATTGGCTGGAACTTGAGTAGTTTATCCCCTTATAACGCAGATTGAGACCATTCCTCAGCCATCTTCTGCCTCTCGTGCCATTCCAACGGAGCCCACTGGAATGCCAGATGCTGCACGTTGAATGGATGCGTACTTTGCAATGCTAGGTCAAGCTTGCATAGCATATTTTGGGTTTTCATGGCGGGATTCCTTGCAACTGCCTTGTTTTTGTGTTTTGATTTTTCTCTTATTGTCCCCGTCCCGTCCTGCATCAATTTTTTGTTCCCTTCTTCGTCGGTTTGTATATGGCGTAACATCACCCTACACTCTTTAATATTTCATTCCAATCACTGCGCTCGAGTCTTTCGGTTCCAGTCGACGGGGAACCGGTTCACCCTCACCCCGTCGCGACTTGTCACAGCTTCGCCAGCCGAAGGATTTATTCCCATACACCACGCTTGGCAAGATTGTCGAATATCAATGTCCGACTCGCACTAAGCATCTCGAATAATGACGCTTGTGAAGGATCCATTGTTCTGGAAGCGCTTTTCACGCGCGGTCCATCTGGATGAGGAGGCAAAAGCTGCAGCTCAAAACAAGAGCCCGGTCCACTCGTACGTACTTTTGCATCCTGTCCGTTGGTTTGCGTAGAAGGTCGCATCACTAACGAACCAAAGGGACAACTGGATCCAAGCACAATACCGAAAGAAACGAAGGTCAATAGTATGCGGCTTCGTCATCTTTTTGGCCATTACGAGTCTCGTGGCCGGTATTATTGTGGTCCTCCTGTGGCTCCATGCCCACCACTGGTTACAAGACAGTCGCGATAGGGGATCGACAGGATGAGGAGACATGAATCAATATGCAGTCTCGAGCCTGAAGTCTAGTTGTCCCCGGCGACCAACTCAGCAATCGCAATCATAACGAAATGATCACATCAACTCCACCGGACCGCAACTTGACGCATATCGCCCTGAGCGAAAAATCCAGTCATGCCAAGGTGGAAAGGGGCAAACAGTTCCCTTGCAATCTTGAATCTGACTGAATGAGCTGGTCCCATGTACCATGCTTGTATGGGCTAAGGTGCTCTATGAAGCGCGAATACCCAAGCATATACAGATCATGTCGGCCTTCGTATTCTGGGGCTGGAGTATTTGAATTTTCAATATGTAAACAAACCGTGTTTGTCACAGAGACCTGTATTTAAGTGTCAATGAAAATAGAGATCACAGTGTCTTACCCATTCCATTGCGTGCAGAGTACGATAAGCACGTATTTATGCTTATAGATAAGGCGAGAGGTCCAGCCAGCAGTTCAATGACTGAAGTGACTCAACCTCGTTTCTCGGAAACTCCAGGGAGTCTGCTGTATGCTTAGGACAAACCCTATCTTCACTCCCAGCTTTCGGTGACATCTCCAGAGTATCAACCCCGATAAGCGAGAGATAGCCTATAGACACGTCGCGGTCTTTTGCCGCTGGTCGACTCAATCCGCGTGGACTTTCCTGATTGGGCCAGACACTCGGTTGTCGGCACTTGTAAAAGTCACGTGCCTTATGATTCTACTGCGCCATCGTTCAACAAATGACCGAATTAACAGGAGTCAAACTCATATTTGCTGGTAAAGTACTGCGTATAACTCTACAATTGTGTCAGTAAGTTCATCATCGTGGGACGGAATCTCCTCGTGGTCTGGTTGTTGAATGGTGATATCCTGGACAGCGGACAGACCGAGCTTGGACAACGCGCTTATCTGCGGGCCTTATCGCTCTTCTCCGCATTAGTGTCTGTGCTTTCCCGCAATAAATAGCAACGGCCAGCCCCTGCGCCATTTCTCTATATTCGTATTCTCCTTCTTGCGCTTCGAGGCACTGTTTCTTCATCAGCCTCGGTGCGAGTTGTGACCTTCATTATGTTACCACCATTTGACTACTTCACCTACCGTCGGATCCGGTAAGTTCATCCACAACATCACCAATAGTGCACAGGCTCACGAATCAACAGGGACCAGAAGCAAAAGGAACGGGCCACCCGTTTCGCTTCCCTCTCCCCAGACTACCACACTGCGTTCACGGCGACAGATAAGAGCATTATCAACCAGCCAATTGAACAGCTCGTTGAGTCGGTCCACAAGTCCCGCCTTTCACCTACAGATGTTCTCCGCACGTACGGCAAGGTGGCAGTGAAGGCGCACGAACGCACAAACTGCGTGACTGAGCTGCTGCTGCCCGAAGCGGAGACATGGCTTCAGAGAGAAGTCAATCTCAAAGGTCCGCTGGCCGGGATCCCTGTCTCCCTCAAGGATTCAGTGCAGGTCAAGGGTTTTGACACTTCTGTTGGGTATGCGCGCATGGCTGGGAAGCCTTGTGCCGAGGATGGGCCCATGGTGAAGTTGTTGAAGGATGCCGGTATGGCTGCACTTATTTTTCTTTTTCTGGTTTACCGATCCTGACGTGATACAGGTGCTGTCCCGTATGCCAAGACGGCACTGCCGGTGACGCTCCTATCGTTTGAGTCTTTCAATGGTCTCTGGGGTCGGTGTTTGAACCCACATGTGCCTGAGTACTCACCAGGTGGTTCGACTGGAGGCGAGGGTGCTCTGCTCGCCCTCGGGGGTCGTATCGGTATTGGGTCTGATGTTGCTGGATCGGTGCGCGTTCCTGCAGCCTGGAGCGGTATCTACTCCTTGCGGTGCAGTACAGGCCGCTGGCCCAAGGCAGGTGTCAGCACCAGCATGGCGGGCCAGGAAGGAGTGGCCAGTGTCTTTAGTCCAATGGCCCGCACATTGAACGACCTCACTTACTTTACGCGAGCGATCATCTCCATGCAGCCATGGAAGTATGACAATACCGTCCATCCCATCGCTTGGCGGTATGCAGAGGAGAAGGAAGCGCAGACAAAACAACTGCGCATCGGACTGATGTCTACAGATGGTATGGATCTCATCATACCAACCTAAACAGAGCTAACTTTCCCAGGAGTCGTCCCTCCCACGCCAGCCATCAACCGTGCTATCGCCACCACCGTTGCTGCACTCACAGCAGCCGGTCACACAGTCTCCGAGATCACACCCCCGGCATCCGCCGACCCCTTCACCGGTCTAACGCTTGCCTCTCAACTCCTCAACGCCGACGGCTGCACCACCTTCAACTCTCACCGCTACAGCTTTGAACCTTCCGACCCCGGCGCTGAACAACTGACCCGCATCGCTAGACTGCCCCGTCCCCTCCGCTACCTCTACTACCTCTATGTCCGCTACATCAAGCGCGATACCAAATGGGCCGCGCTGATCCGCAGCTTCGAACACAAATCCGCAGCCGAGCAGTGGAAGCTCGTTGCCCGCCGCGAGGCCTTCCGCGCCACCTGGCACGCCTGGTGGGACGCGGAGTCCCAGCAATACGATTTCATTTTGTGTCCGGTCAACGCTACACCTGCTCTCCCGCACAAGGCCATGCGCGACGCCGTCTCCTCTTGCGGCTATACCTTCCTGTGGAACCTGCTCGACTACTCTGCCGGTGTATTGCCTGTTTCCCACGTCGACGCGAAGAAGGACGCACTCCATGCGCCGTATAAAACCGTTCTAAAGCGGCTTGGCGCCAATCATGCCATTGCCCGCGGGGCGTGGAAGCACTACGATGCGGCCAAGATGGCGGGTCTGCCGACTGCGGTGCAGGTTGTTGGGAGACGGTGGCAGGAAGAGAAGGTTTTGGGATATATGGCTGCTGTTGAGCAGGCGCTGGAGGGGTACTATGATGAGAAGACTGGAGAGGGGGGGAAGTACCAGCTACTTGAGATTGATTGATGCGGGATTCCGGGCTGGCTAGCATATTCAATCTTAATTCAATATAGGCATTCATGTTCAAGTGTTACTGGCGGATTCTTTTCTGCACGATGGTAAATGTAAGGAGACTAATATTAAATAACAAGTGTGCACTCTCAGCTACTTGAGTCCATGTGCAGACCTTGTAGAGAATAGTTATATAGTGAATGTAGGTTCCTCCTCCCAGAGTACATCTAAGACAGAGTGAATAATACCACATTCAGTCTTCACTAAAAACACTAGATGAGTGAATATATCTCAGTTCCTGTTTCTGGCTTTCTCTATCTGCATTGAAAGTATACTATTCACTGGCTTTCGTTCCGTCTCTGCTAGAATTTCTCTGAGTCTGTAGTCTGGAGACATGATATCTTCAACCACATGCCTGTCCATGTACACATACATATACATATCCAGAATCTATATTCCTCATGTCTTTCGGGATGCATCAAAAAGTGGGTACAGACGTAGCCCCGTTTACGTGACATCCAGAGCGATAAATGCGTACCCTGTATATCTACAACTTATCGGTAAGCATGCGACTCACCGAGAACGGCGCTAATCGATCTATCTTATAAACAGAGTTGAAGCTACCTCAGAAAAGTTGACAAGTCATTTAGCCGGGCCCAGGCATCATGGGTATTTTCCGATGAGTGCCGCTGGTTGAATTATGGCGCTGACCATGATGGGGAAGAAAATGGCCTGCGGAAAAGGTGACTGTTTGAAGAACTATACTCAACAGTCAAATACGAGCTACAAGGCTAAGGGGAGGAAAAGCCGCTTGTAACAACCGGTGTTGATCAGCAGGTGAGTCTCATTCGAAGTATCGGCATATGTTTCTAATAACGGTTTCGGGGTAGCTGGCAGTCTGGCACTGAATAAGGGTAAGGTATTACCTATGCTATAGGGCATGCTTCTTGTCTTTTTACTTCCCAGCAAAGACAGAACAATGGGCAGCACTGTTTCAATTGTCGCACCAGTCGTGTGGCGATATCCACAATCTCCGTTGATTTGGTCAGTGATGGCCCGATGCTGCAGGGAAAGAAGAAAGCAGAAGAGGACGCCGGGGCAGTCCTCGTCAACAGATTCAGAGAGACCAGACTAGAAAAAGAGGACATCCTTGATGAGCTCAAAACTAGCCGACCTCATTGAGGAGGACATGGCCAACCCACCTCCCACTCTTCATCTGATTATGGTTCTCACACCTTATTGCGGCCAGTACACCTGCACTTCAACTGCTGCTGCCCCAACCACCGGCTCCAAGGTGTGCGCATCCACACTGTCGATAGGTTCCAGGGATGCGAATCGCCAGTGTTGATTTAGACATCACGTCAACCTCCCGCCTCCAGTTCTTAGGCGACCCTAATAGACTCAGCTGTGCGCGGGCACGGCTGTATAAAATGAGAGACTGGCTTCAACTTGAACGACTCGGTACCAGATTCCTGGAGTACTGCGCAAGATCGCTTCCATCGGACATGTTCTGCGTCATCTTCGCAAAGGCAGGCCCGCACCTCGGTACCTGATTCCTGGCGGACTGTCATCCGTGAAGTCCGGGATGGTCAGCTTATCACTAGCATGTCAATATCGGTGACCCCATGACATCTGTAGACGTCGAAGACCCTGCGGATATGACCATCAATGAATGACACAGAAGACACTGCTGATTGTTCAGCCATGGCAGGTTATGCTTCTGTCTTGAACGAGTCTCTGAATGCCCTTCTGCTGCTGACTATGGATGGGAAGTTCAAAAGCAACCTGGGCCTGCCGCTGCTTCTATTTCATATACAAGTTATGCTGTCCTTTCTCACACTTCTTTAACCTCCCACTAAGGACGCAACAATGCCTGAAACAGACATCAAAGGTATCGTTGCGACCGTCGCTTTTAGCTGCCGGTCATATGGACTATACTATCTTACATCCGCAGGTATATGCAAGACGACAACATACCAAAAGACAACTCCTCTCAGGGGCATCGCTACTGAGTTGGACAATTCTGACAAGATGGTTCAAAATTCCTCGTGAGACTCCCACGGGCTTGTTCTAAGCTATGGTCGATGAACAACTATTCTCAATGCGTGTCTCCGACTGCAGGAGAAAAGGTAGGCGGATGCTGATTCTGTGGCCAGGTCGTCGACAACGAGTGGAGCGTTGATCAACCATATTCTAGTTATAGAAGCTATGAAAAGTGGCATAGAAATTGGGCCTCTTCCCAGGAGGCTCTCTTGTCACGGTAAGTGACCTGCTTCTGTTGCTATAAGCATAAGACTAATCTAAATATAGACAATACCAGAGCTCGTGAAATACCCGCCACTCCATTTCCTCATCCAACCATCCTGAGTGCATGGTAAATGAAGTGACTGAGGCAGACCCTGGGGAGTCGAAGTGATGAACGCAATACAGGACAACGATGACGCTTTGACATGGGGCTATGACATATATCCGTCAGATCCCAGCGCAACATAAAGGCGCAAGTATCCAGACATAATCTCATACAACGACAGCGGTGCAATACCTTCACGAATTGTTTGCATTACCAGTTGAGGGTGTTGCTCGTGAAGATGACGGAGACATGCTTAGGATATGCTCTCTTGGGAAGAGGCGGACCTCACGATCACAGGCGACGCGGGTTACCCTTTCTGGTACGATGGTCCAAAGCACAAATGAACCAGATGAGAACATGAGAATAGCGTGGTTTATGGAAACCCCAAATAGAAAGCAACCGGATTGGGTCAACAAATTCGATATGAGCATGCCTCGCTCGCCTGCATCAATGTCCTCTTTGCTAGAACGCCTCACCTAGGTCCAGAAATACAGGTACGAGGCCTACGACAGTGCTCTGCAGATCCTCAAGCTGCCTGGTATTACCCTGTGGATGTTTCAGAGTCGATATCTACAGGCAGCATGATCAAAGTAATGCCGGGTCAAATCAGCGAGAATCATCAATGTAGGAAAATACAATGAGACCCCTACCACAAAATGATAGCATGTCAAGCTGCCGTCATCCGCATGGCCGAAGGGCATGCATTTCTTGCTCGACCATATGGCCCTGCCTACTGCCGAAAAGCCTTTTGGAGCTCCAGCAAACCGCATCCTCGAGGCCATCTGCAAACAAAGCAGGCAAACCAAAGGAAACCTGCTACACCACTACCGCGAGGAAATTCACACAGGAAGTGTCTTTTGTATGATAGTCGATGACAGGTTGGGCCGCTGTGTGGGTTAAGACCAAGTAAGATCCTACTCATGCTGAGGAAATCCTTGTTACTGATGCTTATAATAAAGGAATATGCATCTTATGCACAATCAGCTCGACAAGAAGGACTGTGTTATGTATTCACTCACCGAGAGCCCCAGTCGTTTTCCTTCACACTGTACATGAACTTACATCCATCACATCCAGAATAATGCTATCCCATAGTCTCATGCCATAGACTGTCTGAAGAAAGCGTACTTTACCGATATTACTGCCCAAACGGGTGGGTGGATAGACGACTCGGTCGTCCCTTGGTTGGTGATCGACTCGCTCCCAGCTACAGACTACCATAACATTGGTCATTTCTTAACCTTCATATACTTCATCTACTTGCAGCACTCACTGCACACTCACTGCACACCAAGCGACATCGCCAACAGAGCCTCTCGACTTTGGTATTTCGGACTGAATCGAAGATGATGTTGAACAAGTCGAGAAAGACAGGGCGGCAGAGCGCCGCGTTCCTTCAATCCCGATATCTTCAGAAAACTCATTGAACCAAGGACCCCGGTTGGAGTCTAGCGATTTAGATGGCGTTGAGCTAGGATATAAAAAGGGGATGGAGTATGGAGTACGTAATGTATGATAAGTACAGGAATCCTCATGGACTATCTCCAGGGTAATAGCAACATGTTCATTATTCATCTCATATAAGCTTAGCTACACCATATTTTCTCATTCATTACATACTAGGTTGATACCGTGGTCTGTGATGGTGGTGGCTTTCGGACTACGGAGTGAAATGATTGAGAGACCATCGTGGCATCGTCTCAGGAATGCTGAGGAAATGGATCTCATGGGGGGTTTCCGTGTCACCCGGTTCACTCCTGAGCAAGTGTTGCGTCGGCGATCGATTCGGCAGTCGAGACAATCGAGACACTCGAGAATCGAGACCGCCGTTCCATGATTGCGCGTCCCCATGAAGGAATCTAGACCAGGTCCAACAACTTGGGGAAGCTTCACCCAAATCTCTGACAAGCCACGACGACCACGATTTCATCACCACTGCACATTTCGAAAGAAAGTCTCTATTCAAACCCACGGATAGTCCCTTTCTAGTCGAAATCACAGCCACAAACATGCATTTCTCCTGTTCATCCAGCGAATTCTCAACTTAAGGCCTTCCTCCGTTTCCAGCCTCGGGGTTAACGGATAATCGCCGGTACGGTCACGGGGTTCCGCACGACGACAGGGAGAGATAGAACTCTCCAGTTCATGGCGATCTATCAACTATCATCTCAATTCCTCCCGTTTTCGGCTCGAAATTCCCAATTCTCTTATTGTCTCTATAACATTTGTGTCCCCCTATTTCGAGCACGTTAATCGCCAAAGCCTCTGCTGACTACACTTGTCGATCGCATCGCGCCCCTATCCTTCATATCCCGCTGCCGACTTTCCCCCTCATAACCGCAGATAGCTGCGCGATCGGCGCTCCGAGCCTCCCTCCTTTTCTCTAAAAGCGAAAAGCCCGTGGAATCTGGCCCCCGTTCGCAACCAAAAGCCGCAGGATGCGGTTATTGCCGTCCCGCACTGCAATTCATCACGACCGTAACACTCGACGGGTGATGGGACAGGGTGGCGGCGATGCCTTTAAGCAAAGGTGCTAAAGCGCCCGCAAAGGAGTCAATCCACTTCGTCAATGCCCGTCCGACCTCGGAAAACGAAAAGCTGAGGATCCAGCGACTGGTGAGGGCGCATGTGGGAAAATGGATTTCCGACCAAACAAAGGACCGTT